AATAAGGCAGCTGTGTCAGAAATTTCTTCCAGTGGAACCATTCCCATCCCAATTGCCACACCGGCAGTTAAGCGGTCCTGTTCAGACTGGGGAGACCAGCCAGAGTCCTTCATTGCAAGCTCTGCTGCACTGATGGCCATCACGGTGGCAGAACTCATGGATTTGATCTCTGACTTCGACACAAAGCTTTCTTCACTGAACTGACCCTCCTTGTTTCCCCTTGGCACACATGCAGCCACTCTACATGGGATGCCTGCATATTCTTCCCCATCTAGTGATGTAATCCCACTGCCTCCTTCCAGAAGGTGCTTCCACACAAACTGAGTCCCCACACCAAGAGGGGACACTAAGCCAATACCTGTAACAACTACTTTCCTTCGACATGCAGGCAGTGACTTGCTGAAAGCCCTTCGCTGGTTTTGTAAATGTAGATTTACATTCAGACTCCGGAGATGAAGATTTGCAATCTTTAACAGATCCCGTGAGCACTGTGAGAACATGGTGGCAATAATCAAGCACATTCCTGTAAACGGAGGGGGGTGGAGAAAGACAAACACAACAATAAAGCAGACAATGTGGAAAACATTCCAAGAACATTAAATTAATAACCTGCTTTTTACCTGACAGCCTGTTTTCAACCCTGAAGAAAGGGATATATTTTCTGTGTCTGTAATGAGGAATAGTAGGAGTAACGGCAGATAATGGCATAGAAATGTTCACTTTGGGAATGCCTCTAGTGGGCTCTTCTAGCTTAAGCTGCTGATGAATAAGACTTTGCACTACTGTGAACTGTGAAGCACTCTCTGGTTTTGCTGCAAAATTTCCCCTGGAGTTTTAACCACCGGCTGGCTGGAGGCAGAAACAATGAGCATTAACAGCTTCACTCATCTAAGGGAAAAAGTATGTGTTCACCAGAAAGTGTAAGTCCCACCATTACCAAGTTGAGGATATCATCATCTCAAACTTCATGTCCAGCAGAACAGTCTAGAGACCTCAAACAGGAGTCAATAAACTTGTCCTGGTTCTGCTACTAATGTAATTACACACCTAGGACAAGACTCCTTCTCTTTCCACCTCCACCAACCCATAATCAGCCTTGGGTTATTACACTGTCAGGGGACAGTATCTCAAGTAGCCTGAACAAGATGTGGAGCACGGCACCATCTCCAGCAAAGGCAACAGCACTAGACCCTGCATCGCAAGAGGCACAGCAAGTGATGGCAGAAGGCCTCCGTAGAGAACAAGTACTTGAGGAGGACCAGAGGACTATGCCAAGTGGTGATGGTGCTGTACTATAACATGGTCCTTTTTCCTTGCCTTGGCCACTGCCAGTCCAGAGCCAGTCTGACTGCACACATCTGACATGCGGGAGCAGGGCAGAGGCTGCAGTACAGCTCTGCCAACACCTACAACACAAGCTTCAACAGGTTGCCTGCTTTTTGCCTTGTCCAAGGGCAACTTGGCATCCCCAGCTCTCTGGTAAAATGAAGAGAGCTGTATGAACACCATAAGGTGCTGCTGGGCACTCCCGCTAAAATACTCAGACCTGTGGCAGTGCAAGTGCACAGCAGCGTTACTAAAAAAATGTCAGGGAACCACAGAAAGGTCTGGGTTGGAAGGGACCTTAAAGATCATCCCATTCCAACAATCCCTGCCATGGGCATGGACACCTTTCACCAGACCAGGCAGCAGAGACCAGCATCCAGCCTGGTCAAGAACACTTGGGATAGGGAATAAAAATAGTAAACAATCACATATTATATTTTATACATATTTTATGCAAATATTAAATTTAATAATTTAAAAAGTATTCTAAAAGGAGCCTCTTTTAAATCCTGACCCAAATTTGCCATTTCAGTTTTTTTCTGCCACTTAGCCTGGACTCTATAAAATAGGCAGTATGTGTGTATAGTGCATAAAAATATATAATATATAATGTATTATATAATGCAAGTTACATATATAAAGATTATTATATATTCTATATCTAATACAGAATATAAAACTCCTCTGCAGTCATACTATATGCATATTTATGTAGTATAGTGTATAACATATATATGTTTTATAGATACACTATACGATGCATATTGTATAGCATACACAATGGGTAAGACAATGTATTTTATACATATTATTATACACGCGTATAATAATGCAAAATATAACATATTTTATCAGTGTGTATGTATATATATATACACCCATATGCACATATAATATGCCTGCAGCGCTCTGTAAGGCAGCTCGTCCCGCAGCCTCACGCAGCCTTTACTGGAATGCCGTCAGCCGGCGCCGAGCCGTCCTGTCCGACCCAACAACGCCCGATACCTGCTGTGCGGGAAAACCAGGCGCAGAATAATCTCCCCCGGGAACAAGCGCTACAGAACACCCCCAGGTCTTTCAAGGGCAATGTCTACTTTTGATGTGCAAACCAGGAGCCAAACGCCAACCCCACCAGCGCCGCCATTGCCGGCCAGGCCCGCCCCGCTGGGGGCGGCGTCCCCCTAGGCCCGTGCTAAAACGCCCGCCTCCCTCTGCCCCAGCCCTCAGCGGTACCTCCGCTGGCCGCCCTCCCCCCACCCGGCGATGGTTCGCTCTGCCTCTCTCTCCCGTTCCGACGGCGCGGGGCCGCACCACTCCGCAGGCGCAGGGGGAAAGAAGGAGGTGTGCGAGTACGGCCCACCGCGCTTCCTCCCGCCTGGCCCCGCCCGCGGGCGCCGGTGCGGGCGGGCGGCGCGATTGTGGGAATAGCCCAGAGACCCGGAAAAGACAATGAAATTATTTCCTTCCCAAACCACGTCGAGGAGGAATCACGCAAAGGAGGAATAAAAAAAGAAATTAAAACAAACAAAAAATCCCCACCTAAAATCCTTCAAAGAAACACTCCGGTGGAGTAACAAGTCTGTCCTTATCCTGGACAGACTACCATGGCAGAGCATAAAATGTTTGTCCAAGTCTCAACAGAGACATGAATTAGTTACAGCGTGAGTTTGCTTGTTAGGTGATACCTTTATATAATTTCAGTATACAGCAGTAAGAAAACTGAAATGAATTTACCCCCACGTAACACAATAATGTCTATTAGCTGCAAACACAGCTACCTAAAAATACAAACTGTAGCACAGTAATGAGGCACATACTGCAGGAAAAAGGGGAAAAAAAGGCCAAAAAGGAGATAAATGCAATATTTAATAAAGAAAAAAATTAAACATATGTCCACTTTTTTAAAAATGAAGAATCTGTTTTTAATTTAGAAATAAAATTCCTTGTGCATTTAAAGTGTTAGCAATTTGTTGGAAGTTGGCACTTGGTTTTCTAAATTTTTCACACTGCTTGCCTATGAGCACTTCCAAAGCATTGTTTACAAATGCCATACTGAGATGCATTATGTATTTATATGCATACATGTACAGCAATTTAGTTAATCTTTGTATTTCCTAAGGCAGCCAACACTGAGAGTCACATGTCTACATGAAACACATGGAAAGGAAATTAAAAGCTGAAGTAGCAGCCAAGGAATATGGCATCATCATAAATTAAAATTTTATTACTTTGGTACCAGTTCCTGAGGGCTGAAATAGTAACACTTTAACGATACTAGTAAGAATAATAAATGTAATCTCAGCAAAAGTGAACTGCCCTGTGTTAAATCCCAGCGTTTGTGAGGGATATGTACCACTCTCTTAAAAAGTCATGGAAGCTGAGCAGTGACCTGTCAGAAGCAGGCAGCAGAGCCATAGTGTAATATCACCTACACAATCAGAAGGCAGCTTGAATTTTAAAGACCTCTTTTGCTTGGAACTCTTTAAATCTGCATTCCTAATAAAGCAAATCTCCACAGGCCTTTGTGGCCAAGGTTCTTCACCACAGTTCTTTCAGTAGCAGCACAAACCAGATGTCTAGAAGAAAAAGTCCAAGAGGGTTTTTTTTGTTTCTTTTTTTTGCTTCTCTGGGACGGACTGTGGGTAGTGCAGGGCAGATGTCGCGGTGGGTGCAAGTTGCTGCGGTGACATTTCTGCTCGGGCAGCCCTGGTGAGCCTGGAGGTGTGGCACCCTCAGTACTGTCAAACCAGGGCAGTACAAAAGGAGATTTATATCTCAATGATGTTACTACCTGCCAAGGGGCTTCCTATCTTCCAAAAATATGGAATAGGTAAACATTTTCTTAAGAAATTATGTTCTTTGATCTTTGTATACTTTTAAGTGTAATCAACCAGAAAGGAGATGTAATCAAGCTCTAAGTTATGTCCAGGTGTCAGAAAGAGAGATTGCTTGTTGGCAGAATTGCTTTTTTAGGGTTCCACATGTTTCAGTGAAATCACACCTCAAAGAGGTGGAAGTTTACAAAGCTTGGGAAGAAGGATGTACCACTGTCAGTGGGCACAAAGAATAAAGAATTTATTGGACACAAGGCCATTTAGCAGAACCCCCAAGATAAGGAAGAAACTAGCAAAGCCAACTCAGCAGCAGTGCTGGGATCAGCTCTGACTGGATAAAAGGTAATTCTGGCAGGGGGAGTTTGCAACCATCGACTAGAGAGAAAAAGTGGGCATGTGGCCTAATCAGCATAAGAAGTAAGGGAATCATTTAACCAACAGAAGATAGCATGTTTATTAATAAGAGAACTGTGTAACTTGTATCCAATGAACATGAATGCCTTTGTTTTCTAGAATGTATAAATAGTGATAAACTTTGGTAGTCATCGTGCTGGCCTTGTGCACCCCTTACTGCGCAGATCTATAAATAAATCAAACACCTCGACCTTGGGTGTGGATTGGCGCCTTGCACACCAGGTGAAAGAAGCTGCTTTGGGACACAGAGCCCGGTGTGGCCGGGAGGTCCCGCTGCCCGGGGGTGCGGGGTCAGGATTAACCCTTTAACGGGAGCTGTGGGAGCGGGGGCCGCGGGCGGTGCCTCCACCGCCCCTCTTGCGCATGCGCCCGGCTGAGGGCGGTGCTGCCCGGCTGAGGGCGGTGACCTCGGTGCTGGCACGGCGCATGCGCTTGGCGCAGGGCCGGGGGCGGGCGGCGCGGCGCGTCGCGGAGGTTGGGCAGGCAGGCAGCGATGGCGGCCGCCCTGGGGCTCTCGTCCTCGCCGGGCTCCCCCGCCGTGAGCGAGCTGTGCCAAAACAGGCGGGAGATCTTCCTGGAGGCCTCGCGGCTGCTCCTCACTTACGCTGACAACATCCTCCGGTGAGCGGGGTCGCCGCCCTCGGTCCGCGGGCAGAGCCGCGGGGTCCCGCCGGCCGCTCCCCGGCTCCGCGCGGCGCCTTCGGTTCTGTTGTGTAATACCGGAGCTCAGAAGCGTCTCGCGTGGTTTTGTCGGTGTTTTTAAATTAATGTTGCTTACATTAACAGAGGTGGAGTGTTCTGGGTTTCTGTTTCTTTATTTATTGCTGGTTGGTTTGTTTTGAAAGTTTAGGAGTTTGTGTATTAACCACAAAATGATGCCTTTTTCCTGATTTTCCACCTTAGATGGGTATTGAACTCCCTAAAAACAAGTTGCTGCACAGCAAGTAATTTAACTTGATTTAAACTTAATTTTTCCTTCATTTTGACTTCATTTCAATTTTTTTATTCTATTTTTTTGCTTGTCCTATGCTTCTGACTTCGCAAGGTTGGTACCAAAAGTTAATTATAGCTGAATTTCTGCGAGGTGGCTGTGCAGGGTGCACATACTCGCCAGTATGTGTGGTTGACCTTGGTGTCTGCTGGCAGCTCGAGGTGCATGGGTGCCCCTCCCTGTCTGTGCCTGGCTCCTCAGCCACTTGTTAAAGCTGCTGTGGACAGAGAATGGCGAGTCCCGGGCTGGCTTCTTTTAAAGAAAAAGGTTTTTAAAGGAGTTGAAAGAGGAAAGGGGAACTGAGAGGTAGTACAGAGACCATAGTCGTTCCACTCAAGTACCAGGCAGCTTAGCACAGCTTTCCGTGGTGGGACCCAAGCCATCTAGCATTGGTCTGATGGGTTCAATTAGAATGCGCCCGGTATAAGGGGATGTGAAGTTGTCTCTAAATGTCACTACAGACTTAGCCCTGCTAGGTATGAGTACAAAACATGAATTCATGAACATAAATTGCAAGCTAGACTTTAGCACCAGTTGGTAACTCAGAACTAAGTACAAAAAAGCATTTATAAAGTCAAAGTTTTATGTAGGTTTTGACTAAGTGATGTAAATTAAACTAAATATCAAAAAAAAAAATTCTATAGTGCAGTTACCCAGCTTTTAAGTGTCTACTTCATTTGCAGATATAATTATAACTTTCAATTTGTTCAGGAATCCCTATGAGGAAAAATACAGATTAATTCGGATTGGGAATCCAGCATTCTCCACAAGGCTGTTGCCAGTCAGAGGAGCTGTTGAGTGTTTATTTGAGATGGGGTTTCAAGAGGTAAGTATAATGTAGTAACTTCAGGTATCTTCATCTGTTTACATGGTAAAATTTAAAATTTGAATTTTTTTTTCTGCTTCTCTAGTTGCAAGGCAGTAGATTTCAGGGCAGTTGGTATTTTCTTTCAGTCCTTGTCTGCAAATATCTGTAGCTAGCCAGCACAGAATTTAGATGTGGCTGCTTCAGAAAAATGGTGAGCTAATCTAATCTATAACAAGATTTTTTTTTTGCTGCTCAGGCACTGCTGGTTTACTGAATGGCTGGATGCATATCCATGCTGGCACAGAGGAAGTGGTGGGAAGCAGGGTGGAAACCCCTTCTCTTTGTCGTAATCTGCTGCTTGGTGAACATCAGGCATTACAAATGAGTGTTGAAACTGGCATTTTAAAGAGAGAAAAAATGTTTAAAAAGCCCTGCTCTTCTTCATCTTCCTACCATTAGTAGGGTCCTGTAATGATTTAGATAAGGGAAACTGATCTGACGAAAACTTAATCTTCCAAAACAGAACCAGAAATGTTTTTCAGCCAATTCACAGTGCAGCTGCACAAGTACTGGTGTTGTCATGACAGCAGTGGAGGGCAATAGACGGACTGTTCAAGTAGTAGTAGGAGGGTGAGTCCTTCAAAACCCATTTTTAAAAGTTATGAAATGTTATCCTAAAATAGTGTTAAGTGAATCTTGATTCTGTTGCAGTCAGAAGGATGCATTTAAAAGATTGCTTTGTGTTCTGAGGTGGTCCCTGTCTTGGTGGAACTTTAACTGAAAAAGCTTGTTAAACTAGAAGCAATTTTTATAATTACTGGAAAGCTGGTATAAAAACCCAGCTCTTGTTTAACGGTGCAAAGCTCTTGCTTTGCTTTAATTTGTCTGTTTGATGCCACAAACTGTATGGATGTGTACATTATGTTACTCAGGTCCAGCTATCATGAGACCTGTGCCTTCTCTTTGGATAAAGTTAATTACTGTAGTTTTGTAATTAAAAGAAAAAGTGTACTGAAAGAAGTGGTAACTGCAGAGATAGAAATTGTTTGTGGATTTATTCTCATGCTGGTGCTCAGGAGACTTTTAATGGTGTATTTTAGCCAGGAGGCGGGTGGTGTAGCTAAGGGCAGGTCTCTGACAGTGTGTTGCCTCAGTGTAGAGTTACTGTGTCAGTCAGAGCTGGAGCTCACAAACTTCTCTTTAGCTGCATGGCTAATATTGTTCCCTCTTTTGTTTCTGCTTGATAGTGGATTGATACTTTCCATTTAGTTTTGTGGTGATTTTAAGTGTTAACACGAAGTCTCCGTCTGCAGTGATGTGTGACCTCAAGTAACTGTAGGTAAAAAAATTACCTTCGTAAGTAGAAGTGCTGCAGTGGTAGAAACTGAAAATGTTAAAGGATGAATGCTTCAGGATATCCATGTTTTTAGTAACCTGTTCCTTTATGTTTAGTACACATATACTTGATTTTGTCATAATTACTGATCTCTTGTTATGCTACTAGTAATCATGTTGCAGCCAAAAGTAAACCCCAGAAATCAACCCAGGTACCAGTTGTAATAAAAGTATTATTGCCTATCTGAAAACTTAAAACTTCAACATAAAAGATACCAGTATGTATGAGAATTTCCAGCAGATGCTGTTATAGGGGCTTCTTCCCTCAACATTGGATGTCTTCCTGTGCTGCCTAGGATTTCATTGCTGTACTGTCAGTGCTGAGCTGAGCATTAATTGTTTATTTCTGTTGTTGCTGCTTTCTGTGCCAAACCATAACTACATAGCCCATGAATGGCTCCACAAAATAAGTTACTAACCAAAGCATATTGTTGTGAGCCCTCTTTCTCTAGATTGACTCTAGGTTCTTTATCTGGTAGGCTTCTGAAACTGTGAGAGGCTTCAAGCTTCTACTGTAAGGGACCTAATCTAAAAAGCTGAATCCTGCCAAGCCTTAGGATGCTAACTTCCAGTAAACTCTTCAGCTATAGCTGCAGATCATTGACCAGCATTAACTGCTGAATTCACTTGTCTAAATTTCAGGGAGAAACTCACCTGGTTTTCCCTAAGGAAGCTTCAATTGAGCAGCTACGTAAAATCAGAGACTTGATTGCTGGAGAGAGGAGTAGCAGACTGAATGAGTCAAACCAAATCCACAGACCAGGATCCTCTGAAACTGTCAGCAGCACTCAGACAGCTGCACAACGGCCTTCAAGACCTGTTGACTCTGGCTTTGCTCTTGCCCGTCAGCAACCAGAAGCATCACTTGTGCAATCTCTTGAAATGGTAATTATAATCTGCAAACTTCATAGACTCGTTAGTCTTGCATATAAAGATTGAAGAAGAGTTAACTGTTAGGATAGTTAAATGCTCAGAGAAAATGAGTCTGACCACATAGCTAATCTTGCTTTTAGAAGGTTAGACTAGACATTTTTTCCCCCAGTGGTTTCTGAAGGTTTCTGAGTGTTTTCTTCAGTTTAGATACTACTTAAGGATGAAATGTGCTATAAACAAAATATTAGCAAGATATTTTGTTGAAGATGTCCGTGAATATTCTGTTGATCAGGGTGTCAAGGAAAAAAGCTGATAGGTATTGAAAAGGAACAGCAAGATGGGGAACAAGGGGGAGAGTGGGAAGTTTGGTGTTTGAGAGCCAGCAGAAGAAAAGGAGCATAACTTGCTTATAATCGTTGGTGTCTTGGTTCATGCATTATGATCTCTGTGTATAGCCTGTGAGGAGGGCTTTCTTTTTTCACATGTGCCTGTCATTAAAAACAGAAATTTAGCCAGACAAGGACAAATTTATAGTTATCTAGGCTAAGTTTCCCTTGTCCAAGAAGGTGAGATGAAGTTCCTGATCAAGATAGAGCAGAGTCCTTTCATCTGATGTTAACTGGCCCAATGGGAGCAGACTCAGCACCTCGTACAACTTTGAAAAATTAAGTTATGCCTCTTGGTAGAAGCTTTTAAGGATGCTTTGGTTTAACTTTCTGAAGAGTTTTTCCTCCTAGAACCAGTGTCACTTTAATCTCAAAGCTGGTGTAAGTTGTATCCTTCCAAAAGCTCACTTCCCATGCATCCTTAAACACAGTTTGCATGTTTTATATTATATTATCAGTATATTGTTGGATATGAACTATGACCTACTGTTTCTTCCCAATGCCTACCCAAGTCAGTGAATGAGAATTCAGTAGAGAGCATTAAATGACCCATCCTCACACAAAAGGTCTTTTGGGAAAGCCACTGTTGTAGGCATGTTGTATTGAGACATTTAATCTACTTATGTTAGCATGACAGTAGTTGCCTCTAAAATATGCTGACTGGATTTGTTTTACTTTGTTGGAGGTTTCTGGGTTGGCTTTTTGGCCTGCTTCTAGATTTTTACTGTTTCAGCCACTTCTGCAATGGTGGTTGGAAGTGATTATGAAACCTGTAGAGTGATTTGCTGCTGCTGTACTGCTTAGTAAGGGAAGCTTTGAAAGTTGAACCTGCAGTGACAATGATGTTGCACAATGTCAACACAATGTATTCTGAGGTTAATCCTTCCAATTTCTAGTTATTCTGCCCCAACATACACTAGCCATCAGAGTTGTGGATCCATTTCTCTGAAACTTCATTTTCCATGCCTGGGTGGTGGGACCAAACTTACTGCTGTTTAGAGGCATTACTAATGCAGTGTTTGCACTCTCTTAGAGTGCTGTATGTACCTGATCTCTACAGGGAACTATACTGATAGGTCTCTGAGCCATTTGGTCTTTATAGTCTGAGTTGATTGGAAGGAAGTCTGGCAGTGACTTAGCCATTTTGCTTGCACAGCAGTGGGGGGTTTGTTTTCCAGTGAGTACACTGCAGAGTTTTATTTGTATTATCGTTGTATGCACTGCAGATGTCAGAGAGATTTAGAGTTGTTTCTGTTGTGCAAGCATTTTTTTCTTGCCTATGTGTTTCACCTGTCATTCATGGGAGGCCTAGTAAGTGCAGGGAAAAGCAGCTTACTTGAAAGAACAGAGGAATATTCATAAATACACAGTTCTAGGAACCTAGCCCACCATTAATTTGCCTCATTGTTTTCAAGGCTAAAGGCTGAAACATGGTGTAGCGATAGAGAAAAGGTGCCACAGGCTTCCCCCAAAAATATGCCAGACTCTTACTTTCAAAATCTCATTTCACTTTCTATATTGTTCCCTTTTAAATGGGAACAAATAGTTTGCTCAGCTACCAACTTCATTATTATTAACTTCAGTTGTTAGTTTTATTATCTATGTGTGTACCTTCTTGGATGCAATGTGCCTCTAGGTGACAGTAGGATAACTGACTAAAGAAACCTAGTTCTTATATCCAGTTGCTACTGAAACAGACTGGGTGGTTCAGTGGGTGGTTACTGGGCTGTCTATATAAACCTCTATCAGAGTATCTGTAAAAGAAGGAAGTAGAAACAGACAGGCAGCATTTGTGAATAAGAAATAGTAAGCAGAATTCATCAATAATTTAGTTCTACAAACCAGTGTAGCAGTGTCCAGAAAATGAAAGTGATTACATGTCTTTGTGTGGATTTTGGGTAAAAGGTGTAGAAAAGAAAGTTCAGGGGGATTAGATGAGGAAGAGAAGTCAAAGACTTTCCCATTAGAGGTGTCTTTAAAACAGTTTTCTCCCTAAGTTAGTTGACTTTTTCACTCAAGACACCATTCAGAATGCTCAGAGATGACAAGACTGGCTTTACAGTTTGGGTGGTGGTGTCTTCAGTTCTTGTTGATAGCTTTGCAAATAAACATTTCACCTGCAAATAAATATATAATGTCAATATCAACAGAGAATTATGGCTGACTTAAACTAAAACAGGAGAGCTTGGTTATTCTGCCTGAAGGTGAAAGTTCATAAATCATCTTGTGATTGAAAATCCTTTTGCAGGCTGCAAATATCTTGAAAACAATTCAAACAAAATTTGAGGGGCTTGTATTGATGTATGAGAATCCTTCTGTTCAGCAGAAAGCACTGGCTGTAATTCCCCTCCAGGAATTGAAAAGCAAGGCTCAGAAAAAGCTAGCACAAGCTACAAAACTGGACAAAGGTAAGGCTGCCAAGTTGAAGTGTGTATGAAAGTAGAAATGCTCTTTCAAACGTACCATACGTTGTCGGTGTGTGTTTGGTCATATATCTGCAGGTTCCAAATGCTGTTTCTAAACTGGAATTGCCTTCTTCCTAATTTACTACTCTCTTATTTTTATTTCACTTTTGTCATCCATCTTTTACAGCTTTTATGTAGAAATTTTGGACTCTTAATTTCTGAATTGGTAGAAAAAAACACTGGGGAAACAAATGTTGCATTCCTTGAATCTCAAGTGAAATAGCTACAAGATGAGGAGGGGAGCTTCTTGTTCAAGTAGTCATTGTTATGAAATTCTCAGAGTGCAATTTTCCTGTATGTACTACAGTTCTAAATTCCAAATAAAACTTTTAAATACCACTTCTCTTTTTTAAAGTGATATTGGTGAGATTTTGAATGAGATCTTTCCAAGATGCAACCTGATGGAAATAAATGATCACTTTCCTTCCTAATGCTGAAATGAATAGGGTTATTCCCTATTCCTCATGGAGCTAGATATGAAATGTAGGCATAACTACTTGTGGCATGAGTATTTAAAATTTATATTTTCTTCATAAATGTGAATTTGCTTTGAATGTATGAGGTTTTTGTCAGTTAAAATGACATATTTCTATTTTCAGGTGATGGTTTTAGATTTGTTTCAGTGGTATAGTGAAATGTTGCTTCTATAGGACAAATATTTTAAAAAATACAATTCCAAGACCATATTTAAACAAAAAAACATTTTCACCGTGAATCTTTGATAGAAGACAGTCTCAAGCAATTCTGCTAACTTTATAGGAGTGCTGTTGGTTTGCAAATCAAAAATAATCTCTTCACGTGTTTTTTTTATCAATTACTTTGTGGTGTCTCATACAGCCACACGGTAATACATAATTGTGCCTTTGGCATTAAGGAAATTTTTTACAGTGGATTTTCTCAGTAATTTTTCTTCTTCTATAAAACTGTATTGGGAAGTAAGAAACCACATGAACAAGTACAAAGCATTCTAATTCAGCAGCATGGAACAATACAGTGGGGAAAAGAGACTTAGCAGTAATAAATTACAACTATAAAATTTCTTTATGAAGGAAAAAATAAAGAACAAGCCTGCCTCTTAGAATCTGTTCTGATACTACTGTGCACATTGTTTAAAAAGGGGAAGGAAGACGGAGGATAGTGTCCTGGGTGCTTCTTCCCAAACCATCAGGCTGATTTAGTCAAAATAGCTTCCAGACCTTAATTTAGATACAAATAAAGGGGAAGGGATGGAACTCCACTGTTTCGGATTGTGACAGCTTGAAAGCATTTTTCAAGAGCTTTATAGAAACATTTGTTTTGGAATGGACTGTATATGAGATGTTTGGGTAATGGGCTTTCAGCTTCTTTGGTTTCTGTCCTGCTGCATTAAGACTGCCACCTCTGGGAATAAATACTTTGTGCTAGGGGATACTTGTTTTTAGGATAGGCCTTGCAACACATAATAAGCATTTTTGGCTCATAAAGACTATACTAGGAAGTTAACAGTAATTTGATGAGAATTGTGGCTTTGATTTTATTATTTCCCTTTGCCACATTTCATTAGAAAGATAGACTGAACAGTCAAAAATAACTGTGTATCACAGCCAACTGTTTTCTGTTCAAATAAATCACATTTTCCATGTGATGTTTTAATGAAGGATTTATTTTGCAAATCAAGGGAAGAATGTTTGTAGCGTAGCAATCATATTTTTAGAGATGAGTTCTAGTTTGAATGTTGTTATCCAGGAAAAGAGAGTATGGCCTGTGCTTGAGATCTTCTCATTCAGCTTTTAGCAAAAAGTTTGAATATACAAGCCTATCCATTTTGTAAGCAGTAAGACTTTCCCTGAGTGTTCCAGCACAAAGGTTTTCCACATACATGAGTAAAAATGGAAATTTTACTATCATTAGAAGTCAGGTATTCTTGCTTTCTTTAACAGATGATCTCTTCCCATGCACGTCATGGTCTTGGCAATGTGTGTTTGATGGCATTAGTGCTCCTACAGAGTCTTTTGTACCAAGGATGGCTGCAGCTTCAGAGCAAGATGTGAAATGGGCTTAAACACTCATCTTAAGGTTTTTTTTTTCACCATTCTGAAAAAGGAGCTAGTGCATAAACTTGTAGTGCAACTGCCTTCAATCTCCTTTTAGCAGCATTTTTACGAATTTATTTTATATGTTAATATTCATTAGTCAAACCTGTCTGCACTGTGAGTAGAATAAAGCTGTAGTGCATAAAAATAATCAGGCAGTAATACCTATGATTGCAATGTGGCCTAGGTGATAAAGTTATTAGGAAGAATTATTTGAATATTTATGCATCTGAGAAGGAAGAGTATCCCTCTGCACATTGTAACAGGATGTGCATTTAAAGATTCTAAGGCGTTTAAACAAATGGATCTTTCTTGAAAAGCTGGATTTTTAGATTTGCTTTTTAGGTAAAATGGGGCTATTTCCAGGTGTCAGAACAGTGAGAATATGTAAGTGGATTCTAGCTCCTGTTGTAAGCAGGAAAATGGGCCAGAAGAATCTGGTGTCGTGAAATCAGCTAGAGTAGAAAACAACACATCCTGTGTCTGCCTTGGGTAAGATGAGAAAGGTGTTTATTTGCTGAAATTACAACAAACTCAACGTGTTTGCATGATATATACATATTTTCTACAATAATTAAGCTGTGTTTGTAGGTCTATTTATAGAAGGCCTGTACACGTGGTTGTTCAGATTGCTGCCAGTGTCTGGTTCTTCGGTATTTTGAAATCAAAGCAACTGTTATTCCTAGTTTAATAGGTAAGAATAGGAAAATATTTTGGAGCAGAAAAATAATTAACTTTCTGTTCCGAAGTCCTGGAAGAGTATGAAGGGCATCAGGAACTTCACCTGGCTGAAATGTAGATCTAGCTTGTTTCTCTGAGCAATTTCTTATTCTCATTCTAGTTGTATTATTTAGGACTGCAGTTTTTTGTTCTTAAATTTGAACTTACTCAGTCTTGGCAATTTAGATTTCCTGTTTTGTGTGTGTTTAAGTAATACATGAAGCTTTTTAATATGGTTTTTATATTTAAAAGTACATAAAAATATGTAAAGGGCCAGAGATGTTAATTTGTATAGGCGTTGTCAAGTTCAACTAAATGACTTTTCCATTTGAACCAACTGGGTGTTTTATAAATTTTACAGGTGCACATGTGAATGAAGAGGACTTCTTACTGTTGGAGCTTTTGGACTGGTTTAAGACTTCCTTTTTTCATTGGGTAAATAGTCTTCCTTGCAGCAGGTGTGGTGGGCAGACAGAGCCTAAAAGTGGCTACCTGTTGCCTACTGATGATGACCTAAGGTGGGATGCCAGTCGAGTGGAAAACCATTACTGCAACCAGTGTCAGCTCTGTAATAGATTCCCAAGGTGAGCATACAGAAACTTGCTCTCTTTTTTCTTTCAAGAAACAGCTTTGTATTTGTGCATTTTGTGAACAGATGAGAAGTTGTTCATTCAGAGAGAAGCTCTTTTTAACTAACATGACAGAATGTTTGATGAACCAGCAATTTCTCTGCAAGATCTGAGATTTTTAAAAACAATATGTGCTTTCTCTTATGTGGACTTGTTCTGAATACTTGTCTGGCTTGTTTGGGGTTATTTAATGTTAATTTGATGAACTACAGCTTCTAAATAAAATATGTTAATATTGGAACTATATAGTGTTTTGTTGTTGCAGGGAAAACTTCACTTCTGGAGGAAACCACAGTGTAATATACATCTTTTGCTGAGTCTGTAGCAGAAGACACAATGTAAAGATTTCTGAAAAGGGAAAATTTTCAGTTGTTCTTGTTTTGTGTTGTTTTTCTCCTGTAGGTATAACAACCCTGAAAAACTTCTGGAAACCAGACGTGGACGCTGTGGCGAGTGGGCCAACTGTTTTACACTGTGCTGCAGAGCTGTAGGGTTTGAAGCAAGATATGTCTGGGACCATACAGGTATCAGTATTCTGGAGTATTGTAATGTTAATACAAACCTGTGCAAAAGGAGGTTGGGCATTTTATGTCTCTCAGATCATATTACCCATTAGGCAGTGTGTGCAGTTACACAGTCAGCTAACAAAGACAATATACATTCAATTTCCTGTTTTGCCTGATAAGATGAAATACAGCTCTGCAAGTAAGATTAGATGACTTACTTCGGAATGATACAATCTTTAGCTGAATGTAAGGGACTGTGATCCTAAGAAAGAGGAAGCTTTGGTAATGTTTCTATATGTAGATGAACAGAAAACATGTTCTTTCACCTGTTCCTTCATTTAATAAATTGGAAAAAGTTACAATATTCTGCAAGATTAGAATAGAGGCTCTGTCTTTATAAGTCATTGTTTATTCTTGGCCTTTGTTACATAGATCATGTGTGGACTGAAGTATATTCTTCATCTCAGAAAAGATGGCTTCACTGTGATCCTTGTGAAAATGTCTGTGATAAGCCTCTTCTCTATGAAACTGGCTGGGGAAAGAAGCTCTCCTACATAATTGCATTCTCCAAAGATGAGGTAGGAGTAATGATGCTAATAATAAACAAACTTGCCCTGAAGCAAGCATGCAATGTATTCCACCTTGGTGTGATTTTCATAATTATTGTAGAAAAGCATATTTTTATTAACTATCGTCTTTAAATGAAGCAAGATATGTGGAAATTTTTGGTTGCTTTATTTTCTTCCACTTGTGCTTGAGGTGGTAGATGTCACCTGGAGATACAGCTGTAAACATGAAGAGGTACTCTCTAGAAGGACGGCACTCAGTGAAGCTACACTGCGAGAGACAATTAATGCACTAAATAGAACGGTATGTCACTTTTCTTCAGTGGGTTTCTGGCACTGAAACACAAGTATCTGCAGAATGTGAAGTCCTCAAGCAAAGGAATGTATTTGGTAACTTTACAGGAATATCCATTCACCATGGATAATAAAAAATGCTGTTAATTACCCATTTTACCCTGAATACCCTGAATACATACAAATCAGATACAGTGCTGAGCTTATGGGAAATAAGATAAATAAAGGTATGTGAGAGTATTATCATATTATCTCTTCATACACAGATGTGTGTGTATCTGTTGTTTTTCTTAGAGACTTTGGAGCAGACTTACACTTGCTGGGAGTAAACTGCAACTCCTTAGTAACTATGTGGACTCCTTCACGGTGACTGAATGTTTTCCACATCAGGGCAGCTATAACTTGAAAACAGTAGCATTTACAGTTGTAAGAAATGCAGGTTTAATTTTCTTTCAATGGCTTTTTACAAGCTCTAGGAAGTGAGAGCAATGATTCCTGGGCTGTTTCCAAGACTTCCAAAAGGTGTTGATACCATCAGCAGAGCTTTGACTCAGAACCACATGTATTTACACTGTTCATGCTTAACATCCCCAAAATACATGGAGCCATTTGCACCTGCATGTCATGATTGCAGACTTCTCTGCTAAGCTTTTTCCGCTCCCTACCTGGGACACCATGAACTTGATTCAATATACTAGAATACCATAAAAACTTTTAACCACCTTGAGGTTTCCATTTTGTCCTCCCTTCCTTATAGGGCTAATTCCTATGCATGGAAACATTACTTCCAATGGTAGTAAACAGCTGATGACTTAAAAACAGATTATGCCTTTTTTAAGGCCTGCTGGCTTCAAAGTTACAGCCATACATTTAGACTGTGAATAACTGAGCTGGACTAATATTTTGAGACCAGGGCTTGAAATAATTTTAACAGTAATGAAAAATTAGAGTCACGGAGCAGAGCATGGAGAAAAGTAACCAGAGCATCAAAGTGTTTAAAGGAAATTGTGGATTGGTTTTGTTAATTTAGGATAAACCATATCAAGCTTCCTCTGAGCTGGAGCAAGTTCAGCAGTGCTGCATAGGGATATCCTAAGTGTCAGGGCAACTGTTAGACTCAGGAAGGCCTGATGTTTCATGGAAAACTGCTGCAACCACTGGTTGTCAACCATGAGCACAAGCAGAGGTGTGTTTCCCCTCCCTTTCTGTGTCAGAACTGGTATTTGGCATCTGGAATTTATTCAGCTGGAGCTGTTTCTCATAATTTCTCTGTATCTGCTCTCCTTTATACAGTTCCACATTGTTGTCTGGAACAAAAAAGTCTTCAAATGTTTCTTTTGTGTAATCTCTATTAGCAAAACTTGCTGGGGTCAGAACTGCATTTGAGATAATTGAAATGCTTATCAGCCTCAAGTTTTAGGTCCCAGTGGGCTGAGTGTGCATGCCTTGGGTGATCACCAAACCGGAAAAAAAGATGATGTGTGTAATAATTTACATACTCAATGTTGAACTTTTTTCAGCCCCATGTGGGTTTATCCACATTTAAAGAAACAGAAGGCTTCACATTCCAGATTTGTATATTTGACATGAAGATCATGTAGACAAAATACTAACATCTCAATAAAATTTTTAGAAGTTGTTTACCAAAAATTGCTCATAGTTCTAGTCTTGTAGGCAAAGACATATAGTTTTTTTACTTTTCACTAATTTTTGTGGAACTAAGTTTTTCTTAATTTTCTGACATCTGAAAAACAGATGTCATGGTTTGTTTATGACTAAATCAGTGAAATAATGCTTTCAAAGATTTTTGTTTGGGCTTAATCACAAAACCAAAACTGTTGCCAACCAAGTCGTTCCACCTTAGAGAAGAAAACTTTGAGCACAAATGATTCTTGCATTCTCTTTCCTCCAAATAATATTGAGAATGGCTATGGTACAGTATACATATGAGTAGCTATAAAAACTGTTATGGAAGTGTTTTATTGTCCAAATAAATGTATTAAAAACAAAGCACAAACATTATTTTAAAAGAATTCCACATAGTGCCCGCAAGTTCCTAGAGAAAGCACTGCTGTCACATAACTGTGTGCTTATGACTTGTTTGTATTTATGTCTGTGGTATAAGATTAATGTTTCTAACAATCAGTCTAGACTTTAAATGTTAATCCATTTTTCAATTCTATTTTTCCCTGTTGGTGTCACTCTAGAGCAGAATTACAAATACCATTTTTTCTGAATGTTTTCTTTTTTCCTAAATGTCTTTTTTCAGAGACAAAAGTCTTTGTCAGAAAATAGAAAAAAAGAGCTCCTGGAAAGGACTATTGTGGAGCTTGTTGAGTTTATTTCTCCTAAAACACCTAAACCTGGAGAATATGGTGGAAGGACATCAGGCTCAATGGCTTGGCGAGTAGCCAGAGGTGAAATTGGTCCAGAGGTATTTAACTTTGACACTGATGACCATCTTAGAGGTAGCTAACTGAGGCTTTGTGTTCATGGTCTGTAAAAACAAACAAAAAAAGACACTTCATGGTAGATAGCCAGATTCAGCTCAAACAAGTGAATCTTGTGAAAACATTAGGTGAAAGTTTGATGTGAATTCAGTAGAGGTCCACAAGTCATTTTTGAGAATTGGTGATGGTCTGTTGATTCTGATAATGTTTGGGACTCCTTGATATGAAGTGTGTTTTGTTCTTAAAAGTTAAAATACTTTTTTCATTTAAGTTAGTTTGACAGAACTAGAAAGTTTAAGTTAGTTGAAAAAAAATAGGGAAAACTGTAAAAAATTTTCTATTTGTATTATTAGTTACTTCCAGATTTTAACCAATAGTAGGTTTTGGCCAACTATTTTTGTTAATAAAATGTGGGAGCAATTAGAATTGTGTAAATTAAGCAATCTCTTAAATAATAAGCTTTATTGATTTTCACATCAGTATTTTTTTTACTGTTTCCAAAAGTAAGGCTTGACTTTTATGCTAAGATATAGTTTCCCAGAACCATAATAATATTTAGCTTGAGTCAGGATGCAAAGATGTGACCTCAGTTTTGTAGCAATCCCATCATGTGGAATGTTTAACTGTCCTGAACAGAAACAGTTAAGTGAAAGTAATGAGCTTCTTAAGAGATTGTCTTAGTTTGAAAAATTAATAGTTTATTGCACTTCTCTGTTGTTTGGAAGACTTAATTTCTTAAACTCATAAGAAGAATGACTTTTTTTTTTTTTAAGAAAAAGTAATACTGTGAAGTTACAAAATTTGTACCTTTAAGTTTTTTGAAGTTGATTTGTAAACTGGCGTACACAAGCACACCTTTTTATGGGTGTCCCAGGTTTGCTATTCAGAATAACCATTTACTTATTCACTGTACAAGCAATGTACTCAACATATAAATTTTCTTACTTACTAATTTCTTACTTAAAGGATACTCTTTCATGCTAGTTTGTTAAAAAAATTACTTCTAAAAGTAATTATATGAAAATTTTAAAAATAAAATTACTCCTCCCTTCTGGAAAAGTTGCAGCTGTGCTGTAGGAACTGATTTAAAAGAAATAGTTTTGTACATGACATCTTTTTAAAAAAAACTTGGGTTTTTTTCACTTGGCAGCAAAACTGAATTGCAAAACTGTGACATACTGTTTAGAAGTAATATAGTCTTGAGGGAATTTAGGCATTGGGGAATGAAGGTGCTTGTATGTTTTGGCTTTTTTTCAGAAAAGAAAAGAAGTAGTTTTTATTCCCTCTGAAAAGGAGAAGACATCTAAACTGTTCCATCTCGTCTACAATGTAATAGATGATAGTTATACACGAATTTCCAATAACAATGAAAAAATAAGTGGCTGGGAAGCAGGTGTTTGGAAGGCAGAATCTGTTTGGAGAAAGGTTGAAACGGATTGGAAAATGGTAAGAACAGCAATTATTAAAAGCCTATAATGTACAGTAAAATGATGATAACTCCAGTAAAACAGAAAACCCTTGCCAATGTTTGGATTCAAAACCTCTCTCAGTGCCCATAGAATTTAGCTGATGTTAGTAAATGCTGTTGTTAAGATTCAGTAAGATTGCCAGATGGTACAAGAAATTAGAAGTAAATTTAACGTGTCTTTCAGAAAGGATGATTGAATTCTCTGCAGGTAGGTAAAATCCTTGCCAGAACGCCAAATTTATAAAATGGCTTCCTTCTTAGGCTTGTGGGAAAATGCTGTTTTATTGAAAAGCAGTACTTCTCTCGAAATAAAACAAGGTATTTGTTTTTTTAAGAATAGTTTTATAGCATTAGATCTCTTTTATGTACAGCCAAAGGAAGAAATTGTTATCCTAAATAATACAATTCCATCCATAAGAAGACAAAAACCTATCAGTTATCCAGAATATTGGATACCCTGCCCAGAATCCTTCCCTAGTGTCAGGACTGAGGAGCACAAGAGTCATAGGCTCTAAATCTAAGAAGAGAATTGCTACCTGTGGAGTGGGAAGGAGTCATGTACTAGCAAACAGCTTTTTCCCACCGCAGCAACCAACTGTGGAACTGATTCTTGTCAGGGAATAGAGCTTGTTACTGCTTTTTTCCTCTGTCATTTTGCTAGTCTGTAGGGTCTCTGACCAAATATTCTCCTAGCTTCTCATTGATAAAAATGGAGCTAAGTATGTATCTGCCTCTTGAGATTTTCTCTCCTGGGTCTGTACATAATTGACTTGCAAAATGCAGTGGGAGAATTACTTGAATAGGCTATGCTGCCCTAAAGAGAGAGTAAGGAAAGAAATGGGAGAATAGTATGAAAGATGTCACAGCGGGGTAGACTTAATAGTAAAAGAGAAATAACAAAAACTCAGAGTAAGGAACAGATGTTCTCTGCTTCCCCAGGATCTGCTAAAAATCTGATACTACATTATGTTTGCAATTCTGCCTCACGTTTGCAAGAAACATGCTGTCCCTGTGCTGAAACTAAACTACAGTTTTTCTCAGCTCTACTTATCAGATAAGACAGGGTGGGACTGATCAATAAAACCAGGCAAAAAGACTTTATTTACCCTTGTATTCAGTAACACCTCAAAAGGATGAGATGATGGCGTTTAGAAATTAGGAGCTACGACTCCAGGTCTCTCTCAGACTTGTGGATAAGGCATGTTAGTTCTGCAGATTTGCATCGTGCAGAAAGTGTGTAAGAATCTTAGAATTTAAAATTACTTTCCATTGGGTGTTGTTTGTATAATGGGAGATAACAGCAGAGGGAAAGGTTGTTTGCGGTTTGCCTGTTCTTTTCGTACAAGATGCTGCTTCGGAGTTTGATTCAGCAGCTGTCCAAGAACTTAAAAGCCAAAGGAACCTTTACAATAATACTTGGTTAACATTTATCGTGTGATGAATGGAAAGGCATTTAAATCTAAAAGCCACAGAAAATGTATCTGTAAGTATTAGATGAAGAGTAACAGAAAATAAGCACTTGGTTTTATGGTACACAATGCAAACAGGTACAAACTACAGATTGTGTCAGATTACCCGGAGATAACCTGGTATCCAGGACTCAAACTGGCAGACCACAGTAGGTGATAGTAATAGTGTAAGAACCTATAGATCTGAAATCCGTGGACTTGTGAAAGGCTTGTTTTCCAGAAGAATTGCTGCAGTGGAAGAGAATTTGAATGAGTTGGTTGGTTGGTTAGGTTTTTTCCTCTCAATTCAGACATTTTTTCAAATAGTAGAAACAAAACAACCAAGTTTGAAAGTTAGAAGAAAGTCAAAAACACACAAAAGAAAATTTTAAATTCTTTTTTTCTGATTAAGTGTTTGGATATTATCATGAAAGATGAAACAGACTAATGTTTGAGGCTTTTTCAAAACTATGTTTCGTGCATTTCGACCAAGTAGTATTTAATGGGGTATTTTGGCTTCCTTACTCAAATACAGCAGTCCAGTAGGATCTGATCAAGGGAAAGCTCTTGCTAGAACCAGCTGAGATTCTGAAAAAAATGTGTGGAGGTCAGCACCTTAATGAACATTAGGATTACATTCAGATGAAAACAGCTTAAATCATTACATTTTCATAGGTGATCTTCAGTGTAAGACCTCACAACTTTAGGGGTTTTAAGCTTTCTTCAGTGTGAAAATAGTAACACTAAAATTCTGTTTAGCAGTGTGTCAATTACATTTCTGTATTAGGGTGGGATGTTTAGTAAAACAAACTACTGTGTTGTATTATCATTTTATTCTGGTTTGTTCTCTCAAGATTAAAAAATAAAGAGCTGACTAAGTCCACTCAGTATGATATTAATCAGAAGCTTGGACATGACAGAATTTTTATTAATTTAGGATTCCAAAAGGATCATGGTCATTTGGACTCTTTAATCTGTAGTGTCTGTTATTTAGGTTTGCTGATGATAGATGTTGGACTTGAAAGAACTGTCAGGCACTTGTGCCCAAATTCTTGAGAGGGTTCATAGTAATTTTAATGAATGTTAATATGTGAGTGTGGCTGTTCAGCCAGGTGAAGTTCAGGACAGCATTGGGACTAAATTAAATTAAAAGTTGTAACAGGTCAAATAATGCTAATACGGGATTTATGAATGGCTGGCATGTATGATTTGCTTTAACTGAGGCACATCAGGTCCTAGGAGAAGCAGTGTGCAGCCACAGCTGAAGAAGCTACTGATTGCACTGTTCTTTTCATCAACAGTACTGAACAACTGAAGTGATACGTGCATTTAAAAAAACCCTGAATTCTCCTTCTTTAAAAAATGATAAGCTTTCGGTGTTTTTGTGGCTTGAACTCTACTATGGATGTTGAAATAGTTTAGTGTTCCCTAGCGAGGGGCTGTGAATGAGGGGCTGTGAACATGTACAATTACCTAACTGTGGAATATACTTGGGGATGAAGAAAGAGGTTTTTTATATAAAATTGTACTTTGTACAGTTTTAAAGGTTCAGGGGCTTAACAAATAATGAAAATGTGTTGTCCTAAGATTTTTATATCCTTGTTATGAGGATTAATTTGATGTGTGTTGGCTGTCTCAGTTTTTGACATGCTGGTTTTGTCTCCTTTCCATGTAGGTTTATTTAGCCCGAAAAGAAGGGTCATCCTCTGCTTCCATCAGCTGGAAGTTTGAGTGCAAGTCAGTCGGTCTAAAAATAGATAACATTTCAGTTAGGACAAGCAGTCAAACATTTCAGAGTGGAAGAATACAGTGGAGACTTCACTCTCCTACAGCAGAAATCGCTCTGATAGGAGGTATGTGTTGAATTTAAATAATGAATTATATCATGTAGCAGAGGTGTTACTAGAAATAAATAGTTTATATGGAGAGAGTACTATGCAAACACTAAAAACAAAATATGAATATTCTTTACTTTTCCAACAGTGTTTCTTAGCAAGGTCGAGAAAATACTGCGCATTTAATTAAAGCTGGTATAAAACTCAGTTTTATTAATATGCACAGCCCTACCTGCAACAGAGCAGGGCAAGCAAGAACACAGAGTGAATACAAGATACTTTTGCTTTACTAGGAAGGATAGATGCTTCTATGTCTGGTGGCAAAAGAATCTGAGTAGTTGCAACTGAGATCATTAAACATCCATTACAGTTTTTAGCATTTTTAGCGTGCACTCTATTATTATGTACTCTCTGGAGCTGTGGCTTACTGAATTTTCTATCTTTTCCTCCAACAGATAAAAATCTTTGCTCCTATTCAGATTTTTCTGGAGCAACGGAAGTTATGTTGGAAGCAGTTCTAAATGGAGGGGATGGTGAAGCTGCATGGCAACACACACAGCTGTTTAGAGAGAGCTTAACAGGATGTGGGGAAAATTGCTTGGAGATAATGATAAAACTCAGTGACCTCTGAGAATCTGAACTGCAGAAATGTACTTTGGATTCCTTGAAGACATTATACCATGGATACAACATGAAGATTTGGTTGGCAATTCCTCTTCATCCTACTGGCAGATTATTTCCTGTTTCACTGCTTCCATTAAACCAACTTGAAACTGCACGTGTATTGAATAGGTAAACATTACAATGAAAATGTCTTTGCTATAAAAACAAACACAAAATTAAGGGATAAACCATTAAGTACCCTTTTCTTAAACTTTACAATGAAAAGGAAACAATTTTTAAGAAGCAAAACATGGTCATGTTTCAGAAGCACAAAGCAATTGTAATTGATTTTAATTTGGAGTTTTGGGATTGGCTTGCTGGTTTTTTTGGTTTTTATAATCTACTTGGAAAAACAGATTGAATTGTGTTTTCCAATTATAACAGATGCTTCTGATGATTTTAAAATACTTTAAATGATGTTAGAGGATTTAGACATTTCTTTAAAAATTTGATTTTGTGTAGTATCCAGAATAAGTTAATTTCATTATTGCTTCAAAATTTCCTTGTTAGATGTCTAAGTATTAAACCTGTGTTTAATACCTAGAACTATTTGGAAGCATGGTGGTTGCTGGGAAAATAACCTCATTTTGAAAGAAGTGTTCATTATGTCCCTAAAATTGTCATAGCCTGTGATATGAAATTGAGGCTTGAAACTGAGTAAGAACATCATATCTTTTTCTATGAAAAAAATAGGTTATCCATTATAAATATTTTTAATGATATTAATTCAGATTTGCTTAATAAATCTTTTAAAAGTTAGGCATGTAGGTTGAAATCCTTTTAAGCTGTTGTCTTGACTTGCTTTAAATACTCTTCCCAAATTTGATGTTAAAGTATATACATTTTTTTCTGTTCAATTAATTCAGTGTTTAAATTTATTTTCAGTCAATATAATAAAAAATTCTATCCAGGAGACATCAGATGTTGCAGTGCTATGAATAAAACATGGAGTGAATGTTCAGATTAGATAGTCTTTATCAGAATGTGAGGAAGGCCTTGCCTGGATTATACAGGAGATATTCTAATATAGAACTAAAATGCAATGTTCAAACTATGGTCTTATTTTTAAATAAGTGAGAATTAAGGATGATGCTCTCAAGATCAGTGTTTTTAAAGTTTTTCTTCCTTTTTCTGATCTTTCCAATCTCTATATTGATTTGAAGTGTTTGTCAAGAATAATTTATGTTGAAATAAATGTTTGCTGACCTTTCAACAAATCTAAGCAAATATAAAACTATTCAGATTTTATTAGAAAACTGCATATGCACAGTGAACGAAGGAATCTTAAAAAATAGTAGATTATGGCATCTCAGAAGTGGCAGAACAATGTGTGATGGATTATATACTTTGCTTCAGAATGTAAATGGACAATTTATGAGGGGAATTAGAGGAGTCTCTCCCATAATATATATAAACAGAGTGACAGGGTATTTATTGTATTGTATACACTGGAAGGGTGTTTATCAGTTCTTGACTAATGCAAAGTGAACTTGCCAGTCTCCATTTAAAACTTCTGTATTTGGTTTCAGTTAAATGCTTTTTCTGAAATTTTGAGTGGGAACCCAACAGAAGAGTATTTTAGGTGAATATGAGTACTACCTTGTAAGAAAAAAGGAAGACAACTCAGGTGCCACCAATCAACAAAAGTGTTTCCACTTAATATTTTGATAGCTGAAAAAGTTACTGCTTTAAAGCAGAAATTGTTTTTGCAGTGTAGTACTTAGAGGATCTTGAGGAATTGCAGAATTCCTTAATGGCATCTGGTAATGTGAAACAAGAAGGCAAAATATACTTAAAAATATTAAGTTAAAGTAATTTTCTCATAATTTTGGTCAGAATCTCTGGGGGAAGAGTAATAGCTGTAGATAATTTAAAACAGTAAAGTAATTGAAGTCCATTTTTAAATAGTTTGAATGAATTAAAAGATGGAAAAATGCCTTGCCAGTCTAATTAATCAAGAGGTACTTCTGTATTTATAAGATCACATGCAATGAACAGAAGTGATTATTTTAGGAAAGAATTAATAAGGAAAACCCTCACACTGAATAGAGCTAATATGAAAAATTTAAATGGAACTCCTTCAGTTGTCTTTGGAGTATCCTATAAACAATGAACACTTTGAATCTCTTCACACATAAGCTGTTTTAAAGGCACTGATTTCCTCTGTTGATCTCCACTTCAGCCCAGCTTTTAATACATTTAAATTTATTTTTTTTTTAAACCACAGGTAATTCGTCATCCACAGTTATTTAATGTTAACTTATAGTATCCTGAATTTGCAGTATTACATGGTGGGAAGATCTGTGCTGCTCTAATTCTCCTCTAAAAGTATGGTTATTAAGTTATGCTGGCAATGGTACAATACTGGGTGAGTGGTAGATGGTGATCAGGGCACATGTAGATAGAAGTCAGTGCTTACTCGACTTTTTAGAAGTTTGAGGAGGAGGAGATTAAATGGGGAAATTAAAAATACTGTTGCCTAGAAATATATGGCTTAATACAGGTAAAATCATCAATGTTTTCTAGAATCCAGCTTAGTCAGGTGCATTTTAAAGAACAACTGGCTGTCCACTGTGCCATCCATGGGTGCCTTCCAAGGTTGCACTGAGGTCTAACAGTGAAATCTTTTCCATGAAGTTTACATAAATACTATACTACCCAATTAATGCTTGCAAACTAATTCTGGGGTGCATGGTTTCCAACAGAACTATGTGGGAGCCTGTGCAGAGAATTCCTCCTTTCAAACACGTATTTGTTGTGCTGTTGTCTGTCTAGTGTTGATTGTCTTCATATCCTGTTTTGAGACTTAATGCTTAGTAATTTCCTACACCCCAGGAAGTTGCTGGGAAGATGTATCCTTAAAATATATGAAGCCCCTTCTAGGCAGTGTAGAAAGAAAGAAGAGGTACAAAGCACAGCTATGCAGGAATCAAACTTCAGTGTAAATTATATGACTTATAATGAAAGTAAGTAGTGAAAATTATCTTATCTGATCTTGTAGGAAAATCTGTCTCCTTAATTCATTTGTTAACATGGGAAGATTTTTCACATATAGTGGGTTGGATTTAAGATATAATCCTTATTATGTGCAACATCAGGAAATGTAGAGCACTAAAAATAAAGTGTGTTTGTCTCCATAGTGCGGTGGAATGAAAACAGATGGCAGGCAGCACATATGGCTGCCAGAAGCTGGGAACACCCATTTGCAGAGTTCTTGCAGCTCTAAACAAAACAAGCCAAAACAAAGGAACTCCAAGAGGGGCAGAGATTGTTCCAGGCAGATATCAGGACATATCTCTCTTCTCCACACCCACACTCGTCATTTCTTTACCTCTGGTTGCTCAAGCTAGAAGTGGAAGTAAACTACCAGTTTAGAATTTAATGGACCTCCTTAGTATTTGTCAAAAGTTAGCATTTCTTAAGTATAGGCGTTATTTAAAATAAGCATCTGATTTCCATTGTAAGTTCAAGCCTCTGGGTTTGGACAAAATTTGAAGTTTTACCAGTGTTGTTCAAGCAATTCAACAACATAAAAAATGTGTCAATATTGAAGGGACTTCTGTATCTCAGCTTCATATCATATGGAAAATTGAAAAGGAAATTGCAGACACGTGCCTTCCTTAAATCCAGTTGCTGGCTTGGTCCTTTCTATACTTTGAGTATTTTGGGGGAATTTATTCAACATTATTTGCAGTAGTTCAGCTTACCTGGTGCTGGTTCTGAAGGTTCTTTATGGGGTACTGCTGTTGCAAGCAATGCTTTATGCTTTGTAACTTATGGCCTATCTGAACAGTAATCAGCAATGTAATGTATAGTATGTGTATCTGTATGAACACTGGCAACATGAGCAACACTGGTCATATAGCTGGCAACATGAGCAGAAGGAATGAGTAATAGCAGTAATACCTGGGACAATTGGGGGGTTTTTATGCTTATCTTGGATATTTAATCCAAGCAGAAGGACAGTAGAGTAAAAAAAAAAAAAAAGTGTCTTTAGTAGATTGAAAAAGTTCCTTTTCACTTAAGTTTTTAATTTCAGGAGTAGAATTTTGAGACCTCCCAGCCTATGTTATGGAACTTAGGAGTGACCAATTAACCAGCCAAGGTCAAATATATGTATTTTGGGGTGTACAGGTATTATGAAATGTGTCACGGCTTAAATGTGGATAACAATGATTTTCTCCATTGTTAGGACTTTTGTTCTTATTCTTTGGCTTGGGGGCTTTTTTTATGGTAAGCTTTGTAATTAGGCTTTCACTTTGTTTATGATTAGCCTGCTTCAGTTTCTTCAGCTTTATTTTTTTCTCATCTAACTTAAAATACATTTTAATTTACTTTAATTTATGTACACAGTTGCAGCTGTATGGTAAATACTAGGACAAAAAAATAAATTGATTTATTTATTTGGTAAAAGGAGATTAAAGGGATAGATTAAAAATATTCAAACTCAACAGAAGAAAAAGCAATAGTAATTAAAATTGATGATGCCCAGAAACCCATAAAGTTACCAGGACTTAATAAAATTTTATGGCGAAAGAAAATGTAATGGACTACATGAACTGATGCTGGCAAAAGTAGCTTCCAATGACTGACCCTGTTTATGAGACATTTTACTGTGTGTTTTTTTTATATTTATGTCCCTGAAAGTTTTCAGTAGAAGAGAATTGCTGAGACTAATGAACAGGGCTTTTTAAGACTGAGATTTAAGGAATATCTGAGTTTAAATATTTTTTATTTTTACTAGTTTAAGCTATAGAAAATATTTTAGAATTAAGAATAGGATCCCACTTGTTATAGATCATTCCTTCGCTTGTTCCAGTGAATAATATGGATCTTTGATTTTGTAGAAAGTGTGTTTAGTGACATGTTGTAGCCAGGAACTTTAGGTATGCATTACCTGTAAGGATGTGAGATTTCAGAGCTGCATTGAGCACCTGCTTAGCCTTGGAGGACTGAGTTTCCCATCAGAGGTCTTACAAACTGGGGGAAAGATGATTTTGCTATGCATTTCAATGGTGATATTTCAGTGTGTGTTCTGTTAACTTGATCCTTTTATTACATAATACTGAGTATTGAAACTTCAGTAATATTGTGTATTATCCTTGAAGTCCCGGGGAACATATTTTCCCCACTGAAAATCATCAGCTAGCAGCTTATCTCTGTTGCAATCAAGGAAATGCTGGGCTTCCTTTAGATGAGCAGTTTGGATAACAGTATACAGACTGCCCTGTGGAACAGTCCTAAGGAAACTGGCTGACATAAGAGAATGAAGACATCTGAGAGCACTGTTTAAGCAAACTTGAGCTAAAGTAGGTGGAACAGTTGGTCACAGTCTCTTAGAGCAAATGGAGCAGCAAAGTACAGAATGGAAGGAGAGAGCCTCACTTCTCGCCTCTGCATTATTGCCACCGTGAGGAGAAGGATGGAAGGTAATGGAATGTATGTCTTTCCATGCTTGCGTTGTATCAGAAGTCAAAATAACATAGTTAGGCTGCAGCAGCTTTCACTTTCAGCCAAAGTGCCAGGGAATGCATGGTGTATTAAAAAGCAAAGTTCACTACTGGCAAAAATGATGTAAAACTTTACTGGCCAAAAAGGAAGTGCCTGGTTTTGGACTGCATTAAGAATTGTGGTGCTGTCCTGCTTTGGTTTAGTATGAAGCATGCCCAAAACTGGTTTTGATTTGTGCTTTCTTTTGTTAGGTTGTGTAGGTTGGAGTTTCTGCCTGAGTCTGCTAACTGATTTCCATGATGTTGGCAATAATGCTTTAAAAGAAAACAGTCCTGGTTCCCCTCTTCCCCTGCCCCAAAAAATCTAAAACAAAACATTCAAAGTAAAAAATAAAAACACCCCAACTAAGGATGTAGGAACACAAACAGGAAATGTTAGAGGCTGTAGTTTAATTTTAGCTCTGGAGGATGGAAAAAAGTTAATATCAGTGCTGATTGATGAATGTCAAATTGGCATCATTTGGGGGATTGTTTAGAAAAGCTGATTGTTTCCCTTTTTTTTAATAAACCATATATTTTTGAAAGGAATTTATATCATCATGGAGCCTTTCAAAACAGAACCTTAGGAAGTTCTTGCCCAAGTGTCAGTACTATGCATGATCTGCCTTTATAAGTTATATTATTAGTCATATCAGTTCTTCCTCTACATTTCAAGTTCTGATAATGGTATTTTTAAAATATGTCTTTTTTTTTCTTTTTTTTTTTAAGTAAAGGTGAAACCCTGAAGTTCATATTCAGTGCAATAGACATTTCAATTTTTGACTATGCACTCTATGTGCTGTGCAACTTCATTTTGTAGTTTTATTTCACATTTTAAGGCTTGCTAATAATTCATATTTGTACATCAGCTTATTGATGAAAAAAAAAAACGGAGTGACAGAAAGATGTGAAGAAATGGGCTTTCAACCAGACACATGATAAGAATAATTTTCTGAAGTCACAGACACTTACATGCATTTCTGGCCCACAGAAATAAAATCTGTGATAGGAAACAAACTAAGAAACACTTGCCAGAATACATTTACCCTTTTCTACTTTTGATTTCCTTCATTTCACATACAGGACTGATGTGAAGAAATTCAGCCTTTTGTCAGTATTCAGTGAAAAATACCAAGTCCATCTGTGAACAGAGCATGGAGACAACATGTATGCAAGTGAAAAAGTGGCTGAAAGATTTTGGATGTGGAAAAAATAATATTAATTTCTAAAGATAATGAGATTTACTGGCGTGTGATAACCAATTCAGTGGAAATGAACTAGAACCTATTCAGTTCCAAGGATTGAATATTAAATCCATAACTGGGGAATATTTTATTTTAAAAGTTGTATGGAAAGGACACTCCAGTCATGTAGTGTTTGTGGGTGGAGCAGGAGTAACTATGAGCAGAATTGGTCAGTGCACTTAGTGTTTAACACACATTAGAATGAGAAAACCAGGACTAGCACTACATAGTAGCATTTCCTATAGTAGTGTGAGATGGAGGGATTCTACAGTGAAACATAAGCAGATGTTTTGTCCATCTTTTGGAAGATTCCTTTAACATGTGAGATCGGCTGTCTCCTGGGGTAACCCTCACTGTTATCTTTACTCTTAAGAGCCTTTCCAAATTTCCCTTTTTCTTATCTAGTGGTTTTTCATCCTTTGAAGCAGTGTCTGCAGTGGCAATCAAGGCAACTTCCCAGTGACTCACTGGTAACATCTGGAGGCTTCTGCACCATCCCTGGATTCTGTCCTTTTCTCTCTTCCCTGGTGTATCACAGGCTGGTACCCCAACACCACACAGCCTCCATGTATTCCCTAATTTATGATAGCTGCTGTTCCCTCTCTGGTGGGCAGTGGGAGAAGCCATGACGATGACAGTAGCATGGTCTGCTGAGGGAGTTTGTTGAATGTGGTCCTCTAAATTTACCACAGTCTTCATTGCTGGAAGATTTTGTTAATCTCTTTTATTTCATACCTGCTTTTTGTGTTGTGTCATCGTGTAATGTCACCCCACTCCCTGTGGTATATTCATAGCACAACTGAAGCCTCAGCCTCTGTCATTCCAGGAATGTGTATCTCTGGTATCTTCCTTTATTCCCAGTATTGTTCTGGTTCCCAATAAGCCTAATGGCCACCAAGGGTAGCCTGCTGCAGGCCTGGTACCATAGGCCTTTCCTCTCATCCTTTTGAGTCCCACTGTCATCCAGGAGCTTGAGAGGTGGTGTAGGACCCACAAAGCAGGGGAAAGTAAAGCAGCAGCCATTTTAAGGGAAGGGTTTTAGGACCAACATTACAACCTAGTGTTTTGGTAGGTTTATACATATAATGCAAAAGGGCAATGAGGATCCTGACCAAATTAAATAAGCAGATTTTACTGCATGAAGGAATTGCCATGGAAATTCAAAGAACTGAATGAATGGCTATACATTGTTTGCATGCTGTGCTACAGGTGTCTGTTGTGAGGCTATAAATGCTGTCATATATTCAATTTAACTCCAGAGAATAACCCAAACAAATGCTGAATTGAGAACAATATTTTTATTTCATGTCTTTTTGAAAGATTAATTATTGCTTTTTATAAATATGCAAAGACCTGTAGGAGTGAAAATGCAAAGCACAGCATTCACCCCATTAACATGCTAATTCATTTGGAAGGAACTGAAAAAGCAGTTTCACCTATTTTATTTGCATGTCCCTGCTAGTCTGTTACAGAACCTGTTAAGCCACCATGCCCGTGGCATATTTAACAACCCTGGAGGGAGCATCAACCTTGGGGATTGTGGGATGTCCCGCCATGTACAGCATGGGAGTAGCATAGGTCAGGGGTGGGATGACAGGCACTGCAATCTTCCTGTTTGTGAAACACAGAGGAGCGATGATGAATGAGCAGGGCAGATTGAAGCATGGAGCAAGAGGGAGTGCTGTGTTCCACATGTATGCTCCTTTGGGAGAATGTCTGTTGTACCAGGCAGCTTGGGAGTGCTGTGTGCTGTACCTGGCTGAGGAGATGTTTGCCTTTGTGGCTAAAAGCTGTCATGCTGGTTTGGTGAAGTAACTCTGAGCTGAAGCATGTGATTATGTGTGAGTGGTGCAGCTTTGTGCTACGTTCCCATGGGTTGGTTAATGTGCCTGCCTCTATGGCCCGTGATTGTGCTCTGTCTTCACTGTAATCAAAGAGCTGGTGTGGCTCAGGCTTTGCTGTACTTCAGCAACAACTGTCAGGAAAGAAAGCATTGTTTGCTCTGAATTCTCTTCAGTTCTGCACAGCAACTCAAAATTAATACCTTTAATTATTTGGGAGAATGGACTGTTTGATTAGAAAGCTGAGGAAAGCTTTATGATTTGAGAATTAAATGCTGCAAAGAACCATTACATATGCAATTGATTTCTTAAACTAGCTATTCTATGATTCAAGTAATTTCATTGTGTTTTCAGCCTTTATGCCAGTGTGCTCTTTCATCATCATTTCTCATGTCCCAGAGAACTGAGTCCAACATATTTTGGGAGAAATGATAGAAAATGAGCAATAGAAAAAAAAAAAACAGGTTAGCAAACCAGTGGAATTCTCATGCATGAGAACTAACAAATGACTTTTCAATAAACTAACTGTAAGATGTAAAGTAAAAAAGGAGCTTTCATGCTTCTTATCGTGAGTCACAAGAGAAATGAACTCAGCAGAAAAATGTCACGTTTCAGTAGCATGTCCAACATGTCTCAAAGGGTACAAAAACATAAAAGAATCTGTAATAATATAACTGTCTCTTCCCAAAGAACTAACATTAATACTGAAAGTAAAGTATTCCAAAGTAAATGGAATTCTGACATGATTAGTGTCGAATAGTTTCAAAACCTGCTAAAAAATACATTGATACATAAACTCTATTTTCTAATTTAAGACACACTAGAAAAAGGAAAATGTTGAATGGGATGGAAACTGATACTGTGTTGAAATTTCTGGGTAATGTGTATTGCCTTTTCATGAAAACCTGATGAATTCATCGTACTTTTAACCTGGAAATAGAAGAATGTGAGCAGCAGTAAAAACCAAGGTAAAAGGAACCATACTACTTTCAGATAAATTTCAAGAGCTTCAGAGCTTCCCACTCTTCAAAGGCTTTCTGCAATAAAAGCTTCCAGCAGAAGAGCATATGTGGAATAACAAAGCTCAGTAAAAATCAACTAAATGAAAAGGAAGGTGAGTTGTTATTGTGGTTCTATAGCATGATGGTAAAACCTTGACATGAGCTTACTATGAGGCACAGTACATGAAATGTATTCTCTCTAGCTGTTATCTAGGAACACGGGGTATCACTAAGTTGTTCCTTGCAAAATTATTTCTAAAAAATTAGGAAAGTGATTATAGTATAACAGTTAACAGATCTGTTGCAAAAATAGATATGCTGCCTTTTTTGACACTTAGGTCTGTCAGTAAGATAAAACATCCAGTACCTTTTCTTTGCTTCATCGTTTGCAAGAAATGAAGGAATATTGTAAAAGAACTGCATTGATGAAAAACATTTTTCTTTACTGTTCTGCAAGTTAAATCCACAGTAGATTTTTAAAAGAAATGTATAAAATAATGAGGACTACAGCATCCGTATTGTTTAGGTTAAAAACTCCCACAGGTATATGTATATCAAAGCAAGTTATTTTTAACACATCCTGTAGATAAAAAACTTTTCTGGAATATTAAAGTGTTCACAAATTACTAAAGCACATTTATTCAAAGTCATTCAAAAGACTTTTCCTTCTTCACAGGTGACAGCCAGGAATCCTAAATCAAAGAAAGAAATGGTGTGAACAGGATGCAGCTTTCTGAGGTGCTTAGAAATGGAAAGATGCTTTTGGAAGCCATGCTGGACTGAAGACTTTGACTGAGATTCCCAGACTAATAAAAATATGGCATAGCAAAGTGTTGGCTAAATGGTGCCTAAGCAGTCAAACACATTGTCCTGGCCAGTACTGAAAGCTGTTGCTACTGCAACTTCTGCTGCCTCTACCAGCAGTGGCTACAGTCATAGTGAGCAAGAGACATATAAGAACCACTGATCTGGATGATTTTGCTTCATCTGAAAACTGAGGTAATGTGTTCTTGCATTTCTCTAAGAAAAACAGGAGTGCACTAAGGAGCAGGAAGAATCTGCAGAGCTGATTGGAGCAATGTAAGGTATGTAGTAGAAAGAGAATATAAGGAGTGTTAATTGGGTAAAAATAGAACAGGAGACCATAACCTAAACATAAAATCACATTTAATGTGTTGCCTTATTTACCCATTCTCCTAGTAAATACAGCAAGACTAAAATGCTACTGTTGAAAAAAATAATGGAGGACAGCTGCGTGGTACTGGGAGACAAACATTCAAGACCGAGAAATATCAATGCGTTAAAGAATCTAAAGGGATAACAAAAGATTTTTTAATTAATTTCTGATCATCTTTGCTTAATAACATCTAAGGAAAATAGAAAAGTGCATGAAGCAGCTAGCAGTGACCATTTTACAATACTGCTTGCCCAATCACCCAAACTGTTGAATTACACAACTCCTACTGAAATAAATAGGAACTGCTGCTGCTGGGGCTTGTTATAAATGAGGCCCCCTGAGAAACTGTTGAATAGCTGATTTATAACAAGTAATTGTTAGGGATTTATAAATTCAGATAATGTTTATTCTTAAGTGGGTGGCTGAGTCTTGGCCACATTTTACCTGTTTTGCTATACCCTTTATTTTTTTTAGTTGAAGCGTACATCTTATTTTTGTAATTACTTTCTCAAAGATTTCTGAAAAATTAATTCTCAAAAGCCTTAGAATAGTCGATGACACAGGTAATCTGAAACAATGCATTTAAGCAAAGAATTATTGGTGAACAGGTTACTGGAAAGAATAACAAGCCATCTAGAAAAGAATACAGTAATACTGTTTTGTGAGTATAAACTTCCTTTTCTAAACTGCCTTGTAATTGCCAGAAAACATGGTGAGCACATTCCCTGTGCTGTGGGCTATGAAAGAGTAATTCAAATTTTAGGCCGTGTAGTACCAAATCAAAAACACCATGTTAATACCGTTGTAATTCAAAGCATTACATCAGTCTAAACTCAAGCTGCCAGTACAAATTTACTCTAAGGGTTTCTTCATTAATTTGTTGTAAAGGCACATGCAAACTCTCTGTCTGTGGTTCTGCTGTTCTGTGCCTGACTGGACCCTTCATAGTAACCCCTGACTTTTCTTTTTCTTAGTTACTGCTTGTCTTCCCCACTTTCTGTGCTCAGGTGTTGTATTGTTAGCTGATGTGTCCCTACCCTAGTCCTCTTTCAGAAGGATGTTCACAGGTCATTCACCCAGCTCTTTTGTTGCTCTTTGCGTCAGACATTCACATACTTTTGTTTAAGTATTCCAAAACTTGTGGCCTCCTTCTCTTTTTGCCTTCAACCTCAGCATAAGCTACGTGGGTATACTGGCCGCACTTTAATGACATGCTCTGCCTTGGTGGAGATTGAGCCATCTGTTTCTCTTGGGTCTTTCTTGAGACTTTTCTCTTCTTTGGTAATCAGAAGAACCACACAACTCCCTTCTGAGAAAGGGAATGCAAATGCACACCCTGACCTAGTCATCGTTGATTCTAGTCAAAACTGGTGATACAATGAAGCTGTGCAGAAAAGCTTGCCCTTTCTATTTCCTCCTCATAATAAGTCAAAACATTGTGTCAGAGGTGGTTGAATTTTAGCTCAAGAGAGCAAAGTACCATCTCTTTAGACATTTCCCAAATAGTGGGCTTCTCTGCTGTCTACATCACTCATCACTTTTCCCCACAGATTCAACATACCCACACATGCCTTGTATAGAAAAAACTCCCTCACCTTCCTGTCATTCTAGGAATTACTAGACATGACCTTCTGCTATTAGGAAGCAGTCTTGATACTCACTCAAAATCTATAATGGATTTCAGGAGACTGGAGAAATACACTGGTAATGGATACCTTCAATGAGCCAGGAGAGTCTTGTTGGGTAAAAATGAATTGCCACTCACATGTTCTTGCCCAGTCTTGTTTGGGTGAACAAGGTTTTTTCTGCTAGGAAAAAAACCTGTTTTAGTCAAAAAAAAAAATACCGCTTTGGAAATAGAGCTCCTTTACAGAGGGGCTGGGATAGAGGGACAGTAAGAAAGGAATATATGGCTAACATCGGAAAAGCTTCTCAAGGAAAGCCTAGCATGCTTTGCAGTGTTCATCACCCTGAGCTCAAGGGAGTGCCTTTCTGAATGGCATGGCATGCCTGAACCTTGCTGGCTGTTTACGTTCTCCACACTGATTAAAAATGCCATAATACAGTTGGTGATTCCCAGCCTCCAAATCACAGCAATCTCCTCTCAGCACAGTATAACTGCTGAGATGGCCACTGCTATCTCATGTATGTTCAGCACAGACCTCAAAATACATCACCTTCTACATTCTGTGGTTTTTTTCCATTGTTTTTGTCCCTCCAGGCATTTGCATCTTTTCCAACTGCCACCAACTCTTCTAAAAGAATCAGTGTTAATAGCATAGATAGTAATTCTACTCATGTTGAGAATTCTTCCCAGTGTGACCAGCTCAGCTTCCCCTGCTTCACCTCTGCATGCAACTTCTCTTGCTGTGTGTGGTCACTGCACAAGGGAGCTTTGTTCTATACAAGGAATTTCGATACAAATATATTTAAATTTCTATGACCAGCCTCTGCTGAAGCAACAACTTTGTTTATGCTGCTGAGTGAAAGTGTGTCACAATTTAAGACTGAGCTGACAGTGAGGAGACTGGGTGGGCTTGGATACTAAAGCCCTTCTGTTCACAGATACATATTTAAAGTTTACAAGTGACACAACTTCCCTCTTCTGTGTGAGAGACTGTGCAGCTCAGGCGAGAGGCCAAGCACGTCAGTGCAATGGTCTCTAACACAACCTGCCTCTCCTGCAGCAGGGAGGTGCTGCCATCCAGGAGAAGGTCAGGTGGGTCAGTGCAGCAGTCCCAGCCATGTGATGGGCAGTCCAGGATGGAGCCCAGAGGTCCTTGTAGCTAACCCTGGGGATTCTGCTGGAACTTCCCCAGCTACAACCTGGCAGTAGCATTCACAGCATGCCCCACTTGAGTTTTCCACACCTCTGCCAACAGCACAGCACTTAACAACAGGTTAGTCACCAGAGGAAGAATTGGAGGGTAAACAGGGTTTAAGTCATCCAAACCCTCTGTCACACTGCCATAAGCGGGACATTGTTTCTGGAGGATTAAGATGGAAATGACCCGACGTTTTTCAAGAGACTGGTTGTAGAACAGTCTGTCCCCAGGAACAGCTACTAACAAAAGTGCTATGGATACATCAGGTATTTAAGTCCTGGGCACAGTTCAGCTGAGAATGTCGGGAAGTACATTGACAGTGCACACCCACAGAAAACCACTAGTGTGGCCTCTTGCTAATTCAACAAAGGTGTTTGAGATACAATTGTGTAAGAACATGTGATCTGGCTAAATTATATCGTTAGGTGATCCAGCCATGGGTAGACTTCTCTTAAATACTGTGGAACCGTGGCCTGAAGGTCATTCACAATCAATGCAGTACAAGTATGTTGGTCACTCTCATGTTGTACTGCCATAACCCTAGTCAATAATTTGGTCAATTATCTCAAAATTATGTTAATGAATTATAATGAAATTTAAAAATGCAGTAGAATATGGAAATTATTTCATTGCGAGTGTAGATATTTAATATTAAAATATGCAATGTTTGTTTATACCTCATTACAACTGCATACAATGTGGAATGTATAATGTAATGGGCATCAACTTAGTTTCATAAATATTTTAGCACAAAATTATGCTTTTTCCTGTGTAGTTTGCAAAAAAAGGAGAGCTGTGGTCGGTTATTTAAGTAAGTGCTTGTATTTGAGTATGTTCACAGATTAGATAAATGTACATAGTTTCACAGATAGTCGTATTTTAGGTCCTTTAAGTCTGAATCCAGAAAAGCCACATAAAAAGAAAAGGTTTTATTAGATAGTAAGCAAACTAGAAGCAGCAAATAACTTAGAATAGATGGGAAATTTGTACATACCAAGTATAGAAATACTTAAAGATCATACATACAGCTGTCTTACTGCTAAAATGATTGAACAAAAAGTAGTATTACAATAAATATTTTGCTTACTAAAAGCAGTAGTGAAACTGGTTTAAGTAGATCATTGTTTTGAAAGCCTCTAGGGTACTTCTGTTTATGTTATGGTCTACAACTATGAGGACAAGTAAATCTCAAATGAATTGAAATAGGACTTTGTGTGTACTATCTCAAGGGGATTATTAATTTAAAATGTTACACAGTAAGTGTGAAGTATTTGACATGAACTGGTAGTGCATGATTTGGGCAGGTTGCATCCAGTAAAGTAATTCCACTCCTATCAGAATGTTATGGCACTTGAATTTGATTCATGCTCATATCTACTTCTGTGTTTGTTTTAACAGGGATCTCTTAAAATGTGATGAGCAATCTCATTTCACTGCTTCACCTCTGCAGCCCACAGAAGCAGCTGCTTTTAGTCTCATGAGAACTTTGTCCCACAGTCCTACATGACTAGCAATGCAACCACTCAGCATACACATGTAAGTTTTAGGGATAAAACCAACATCAACAATAAGCCAATAACATGCCATGCAGCTAGTGTAGTATAGGATGAGAATTAAATAAAATCCAACCTGGATGAAGTAATTTCAAAGACTAAAGAAAATGCTTAAGGGAACATCAGCATTTCCTCATAAATCTGCTCCAGTGTGACACAGACTGAACATGTCTGACCATGCACGTTCAAAGACCAGTAACTGCCAAGAAGAAACTCCCTCTGTCTCTCTCTAATATATATGGAATTGGCTGCCTTCAAGTTAGATTGCTATCTTCTGCTTGGCTCACATTGCAAAAGGCACACTTCCCACACTAAGGGCAATGCATTTACTAAACATCTGGAGCTAATAAGAATATAGTACACTAATGTTTGGGACTTGCTCTTTTTCTGCTGAATACAGTAATGGTCCTCAACCAATGTAAAAAGCTTTGAACAGATGCACTTCTGATTTCACTGATCCTCACAATATTCATTGCAGCAATTCACTGTACATGATTCATTTTAACGGGTCCTACATATAAATTTGAGAT